TGTTGTTGTTGTTGTTGGTAGTGATCTTGAACGGTGGGGGGCTGAAGGTGATGGTGATTTTGCAAGTGATGCCTCTGCAGGCTCTCTTGCTTGATCAGGCCCGTCGTCGTCGTCGCCGTCGTTGCCGCTGTCGTCGTCGTTGCCGGTGACACCGTCGTTGTGGCCGTTATCGTTGTAGGTAACGAGGAGGACGCAGGATGAAGCGGACGCGACCCAATTTGTTCCAAGTTGCCGGGCACCGGGTCGCAGGACGACGAGAACGCCGGGTATAGCCGATGGTGGGGCTGTGCCGTCAGTGATTCGCTGCTGCGAGTACCGCTGTACAGGGTGTCCTGATATTGCTTCCATCTCCTACGGCCCATCAACTCCTCCGCTACCCGTTCCAGACCTGCGACACCACCGCAACTACATCAAACAATGATGTGCGCCACTTGTCCGCAAACCCCTATACAACCACTTCTCGGACTATGCAGTCCGAGAGTACAGATTCGTCTCCACTTATCATCACCGTGGAAGATTATGCCGTTTCCTCGATCAGGAAAGATCGAGACGAACATTTTTAACTCCCTTGATAGTTCAGCCGGTCGTTGCTTCGTGTTTGACTAAACCACTCCGTAAAAGATCGGATACGTTCGATGCTTTCAAGCTTTTCGATTTTCACAATCCAAGAACGTAACTTTAAATGAAAATATGATGAATCTCTAAAGATAGATTTCTAAAGAATTAGCAACACGACTAATGTCAGGTCAAACGATATATTTTCGAAATAGTTGAAAAGAATAATTTAGACATGTTGATAGTACATTTGGTCGCACGGTCAAACAAGAAGAGAGTCTTTATGAAACAGGAAAAATTTTACACGCTTTCGTTAAACCTTCGTACTTGTTTTGTCGTCTGATAAAAATAAATAGATCATAGACTATACTTTCGAGATACGAGAATATATATTCTTCAAAATATATCACAATTTTTTATTACAAAATCTTCCTATTTCTGCTCTAATTGAAATATCCAACCAATTTATGGAGAGAAACAAGTACACGACTTTTCAACGAATTTCGCGAAATTTGCTGGACTGTTAAGGGGGTTAAACCTTCGCGAACTCGACGAAAGGCTACTGATAAACCATCGCCAGGGAAAACGCGAGAGCCCGAGCCCCGAGGAAAACGCGAGTTTCTCGCGTGAATATAAAGATCCGTTAATCGCGATAACTCTCGCGGTAATGCACGCCGATGTCGGAATCACCAAAATCGCATGCTCGAGAAACCGACCGGACGCGGTGGTTTTTTTGAAGGACACAGCGGTAACACGCACGTCCCAGTATCTGACAGAGTGTCGCAACGAAGAAAATTGCGGCACATCAAAAATTGCCGGCGCAACGCGAACGCGTTTGCTAATGTTTCCTCTCCTCTTTTTCGCCGATCGTTCTATCCAGATTGCTTGAACTCTATCGCCATAACGATTCTCCCGCTTCAGGAGAGCCGCCATTTGGAAATCTCGTTTCATAAACGATATTACCTATTGTTATTTTCGAATCTTCGAATCATTGTTGCTCGCGAAACTATGTTTGAGCGCTCGTTGTAGGCGTGTGTGTGTGTGAAACACGAATGAAATTTCATTAGCATAATTGTGTGAGACACGACTATATCGGGAAATGATGTTTGAAATCAATCTGAAATGACGAAGTAGCTGCTTCGTGTATGTAGACACTTTGTGTATGTAGATCGCAGAGAAATCACGAAACAGTCAGATATCTGTTATTCAACATTCATCTCTAATGTTTTAACTTTCTATTAAATACACGTTTGCGATATATAATATCTTGTTACTACTTTCAGATTAGTTTCAAATTTGACCAATGAAAATTCTCAATGTACGTACAATGTGGACATCGAAGTTTTCAATGTTAAATATTCAAATATTTTTCATCACTGTACGTCACAATAATTCTCATTCCTTTGTACATAAAATTCGTAGAATTTTATTTAAAAAAAGAACTAAAAGATGTGTCGAATGGTTCCAACGCGATAACTAGGGACTGTAAATCCTACAGAAATGTTGTAACTCGCTGGACACACCTCACAATAGTTATCGACGATAACAGAAATTTCTTTTTCTCATTTTTTTTTTTTTTTTATCCAAAGATCGAATAGTCGAGCGTTATCGTAAGGATGTGACGTACCTCGTTACCAACGAGGTTCGAAAAGGTTCCGGCGAAAGTCAAGATTCATACTGATATCGTGCACCACTATTTTTAATGCATCGCTTGCGACCAATATTAATTCTCAAAATAAATATCCAAAGCGAAATATCGAGTTCCAATGTAAATTCAACCGCGTTTATTTTTCCTTGATGATCGATATCATGATGAAACTGCCGACATTTCTATTTCGAAGCAACGAATAAATGCGTGACGACGTAAAAACAAAAAAAAAAAAAAAAAAAAAAAAAAGAGAGAGAAAAGAAAAAGAATGGTCGCGAGGCCGGCGATTCAGAAAAAAAAAAAAAATCTCCACGTAATCTCCCGGCGACACCCGATGAAAATTCTCAATACTTGCGCCCGGCTATTCATCGGCAGTGCTCGAATTGGGCCGCAAACGCGTCTCTTCGCAGAGTCCCACTTTGAATGCGTCAATTGATTCTAAACAGACACCCGGTACGGTGGCACGCGTCCCGCAAATGCACCATAACTGTCACGTCATTTGGTCGTCGCGTGTGCCACGAGCACACGCCAACCGATGAATGTACGTAAATATATTTGCATGTGTTGGCAGAATCTCGCGTGCGCAAGAAGATCGAGCGTGGAGGCGATTTTTCATGGCTGCCGCCTTTATTTCTCACCGGATTGATTTTGTCGTCCCGACCGAGCCAGTCGACCGGGACAGTCGCGCCGATTTAACTTGCTGTTGGGTAAATCCTTTCGTGTTGCGAGCTCGCGCTAGATCGCGACAGACGTGACGAAATTTTCGTAGCGAACCGCCGCCAACTTATACCAGCGATTCTGCGCGTATACTTGCGAAATTCCCGCCGTTTGATCCCGTTTCTTTCTCCACCTTCCACTTTCCGTATGTTCGTCGTTTATAAAAACGGCGCTCTATAATTCGCGCGACGATATATTCGTCGATGTAGAGAAAGAAAGAAAGAGATTTGAGCATCGGAAGAATGGCAAAATTTTCGATGGAATCGCTTAATAAAAAAGAAAAAGAGAAAGGATGCACGTCCGGTGCAATATCGATCGAGGCAAGGTTGCATTAAATGCTCGCTAGGCTGCAAAAGGAGCGCGCGCGATGAAAAACATCTGAATAAATTATTATTGTTTGTCGAACGTTTCGAACGAATAACGACGCCCCCATCGTGGTAGCCCATCGGTTGTTTGTACGGCCATTATTTAAACGCTCTAGTTCCACGCAGCTTATCAAATACAGGTATAATGCCAGTTTGCGGAAATGCGAACTGGATCTGCGACGAGCGTCGCCGCGGCACACCGACATATCTGCTTGCACGCGCTGCTGTCAGAAAAACGTATGACAAGCATTACGGTCAGGGCTGAGTTTATACAGGCGGACTTTAAACGGAGCTCCGTGCAGCGAAATGCACGTTATTTTTAAACGTGTAGGCTTGTTTCGTAATTGTCTTCGCCGTTCTTAAATCACCGTTGCGTACATCGCCGATCTACAACTATGAGTAGGCATTTCTATGCCTTTTCGAAATTCGACGTTCCTGCCGTTACCACTGTACACACGCATACACACACACGCGCGTATCTCTCGGGCGAGCCAATAACGTGACTAACGTGTTCTCGCGCTGACGTTTAGCCGCTCGTAGATTTTAATAATGCATAATCGATAAGGAGAACAAGAATTGCACAAGTTAACGCAATCACCGTAACCGGCTAATCGTCGTATTTAGAAAACCTCGAAACTTCTTCGTAATCGAACCGTGTATGAATCGCATCGGACAACCGCACAAACAATTACACGAATCATCATCTCTCGCGAGAAACGTGCCTGGGCCCCCCCAAGGTTGAGGCAGTGAGTGAGTCATGAAAAATCTGTCCGGAATAAGGCGCGATCGTTGCACGAAAAAAAAAAGAAAAAAATTTTTTTTTCTTTTTCTTCGTTAAATTTAGCCTCGTTTCTCGATGACGTCAAATCCAACTCATTTACCGCGATGGAACAAAAGAAACGACGCGTTGTGCTCTAGCGCGCCGCCAAGAACAAGGGGGGAAAAGTCGAGACGTGAAAATCTCTTTGTATCGCGGAATTAACTCACGAACGATACGCTGCTGATTATTACATGGCAACTTTGGGACAACACGCAACTTCATTCCCTGTCCTCTTTAATTAAAAACTTCCTGCCTGTCATTCCGCAGTTCGAAGTTCCATTACTTTCTTTCAATTTGAGACGTTTAGTCGCTGTTTCACGATAGGTAACTTTGCTTGAAAACTAAAAAGAATAAAAAAAAAAAAAAAACAGAGAGGTTCAAATGTTTCAAATGTATGTTGAAAAATAAAAACAAACTAACTAGATATGATATTTTATCTGAGGAGAATATGACATTTCAACTGGTCACAAAATGTCACGTTCGATATGTAAATAGAATGTTTCTTGTTGCTGTTATCTCTCTGATTTTTTTCATTAAAGATCTATTGTTGTACTTATCGTTGTGAAAAATATCGTAGAGGCGCGAATCGAGACTTCCCGCTGCATCGTTCGATCGATGGTTGTAAAAATTTCATAATTAATCAAGTTGTAACTTTAATTACCCGTTGACGTGATATTGTGTACACGTGTTCCGCGGAAAAAATGTGAAATCGTTGTAATAATAAAATTAGAGTGCTAACTCTAAAAAATAAGTGTGGACGTCGGTCGTATGTCTGACTCACACCATTATGGTTCTTGATAATTAACGTACATAAGTAGACTGCGTATGTTCATGCATTTATGCGAAATTTAGATTTCAAAAATGTAAGGTATATCTAAAGTTGAATAAATATTTGTAATAAATATTTAATAAATGAGGAGCAACTTCATTTAGACCTTGTTTCTATAGGTTTACAAGAATAACAAATTTGCATAAACGTCAGTAAATTACAACGTAAATTACGACGCAATTACAATGTAAAATGCTGAATGAAGTAGAATTTGTTCTAGAAGTAGAAATTTTCTACTAAACATATAGCAATTAGATATTTATTCTATTCACTTATGTATACCACAACAGGCCAACAGTGTGTATGCGCGATACGCGAGCACGATAAATAGAACCAAGCACGATTAGATGACCACGACCATGTCCAATTTGAAACTCGATGCACTCGAAAAAGCATCGAAAACAATCGTCTTGG